AATGATTGGTGCTAGTGTGTGTTTCAGATTATGCGGCCCTATTTCGACCACCTCTGTATACCACGTAGAATGATGGGTACTAGCGTGTGTTTCAGCACCACCTCTGTACACCATGTAGAATGATGGGTACTAGCGTGTGTTTCAGCACCACCTCTGTATACTACGTAGAATGATGGGTACTAGCGTATGTTTCAGCACCACCTCTGTATACCACGTAGAATGATGGGTGCTAGTGTGTGTTTCAGATTATGCGGCCCTATTTCGACCACCTCTGTATACCACATAGAATGATGGGTGCTAGCGCGTGTTTCAGATTATGCGACTGTATATGACCGCCTCTGTATACCACGTAGACTGATGGTTGCTAGTGCGTGTTTCAGGATATGCGGTCACCTTTGTACACCACGTAGAATGATGAGCGGCAGCGCATGTTTCAGGATATGCGACCGCAATGTGACGGCTGTGCATACCTCACGAAATGATGGTTGTAGCCGTGTGTTTCAGAATCTGCGACCATTCTGCGAGGTGTGCACAGGCGGTCGCATTACGGTCGCAGATTCTGAAACACACGCTGTCACCATCACTCTGCGAGGTGTTCGCTGGAGCTCAGTGAAGCTCTTCCATTGGTTGGTGATGTCAACCACATGAAACTGTTGCTGAATCTCAGGGTTGAAGGCACGTCCGCCCTCATCATAAGTTCTCTACCTCGAGAGCCAAGTGTTGCTAAGCCAGAATCCCTCACCTCGATTAGTCCACTAATCAATAGCACGCTTTGAAAGTGCCGCGGTAGAAAGCGACTGTGATACAGTATAAGCCTAGTCGGGGTGTCGCCCCTTCGCTCAAAGGGCTCTCCTTAACATCAGGAGGTGCTTAATTACGATTTCAACGAGGCACGCTCACGTCGGGACACCGTCTGCCCTGGTGCTGGCGCCTGGAGCAAGGACCGCAGGCCCTCTCCAGTCACGGGGACAGAAAGCAATCGGGCAGTGGCATAGCTTCATCCTATGGGAGATGCTGCAGGACAGGTGTTGCCCAGCAGAGAGGGCTGGCAGGATATCTTTCTAAGAGATGACAAACCCGCGCTGACCGGTCCTGAGGCCCAGACACCCGAGTCGACGTACCAGCTGGGGACCACGGTGATGCCAACATAGTTATTACTAGCATTTTCATCGTCTGCAGTATCGGTCCAAGCAACGTTGGCCACTCATATGTGATACACGTGATGAAGTCTGGGTGCAACGAGGTTGAAAAGTTGAGTGAGTTTGGACGTGGCTGTGACCCTGAGAATCTGGCGATATTGATGGGATGGCCTCCCTCCAGTTTGATTCACTGTGAGGGTGTGGCCGCAGAACGGCCGCATAATCTGAAACTGTCCCCCCGGCCAGCGTGGTGCTGTCGGAGAGCCACCACCCATGGGCCGGCGTGGTGTTGTGGCTGAAACTTGAGAGCCACCACCCATGGGCCGGCGTGGTGTTGTGGCTGAGAAGTGAGAGCCACCACCCATGGACCAGCGTGGAAGCGGCCACAGAACGGCTGCATAACCTGAAACCTGAGCGTGCTCTGAGATTGGTCAACAATGTCAACCACATGAAGCTGTAGGTGTGTCTCGGGGTCAGAGGCATTTCCCACCCTCGTGAGATCTTTTCTCGACCTAGCCACAACGTGAATCCTCGCGAAGTACGTACTCTTCAGCTTGGCCAGTTAAGACTATAGAACAGCCCTCAATGCTGTCTTGATCCTTGTGGGATACGTCCGATGTCCTTGAAGGCGTGAATTTCAGCGATACAGTCCCATCCTTACCCTTTCCCTTCCTCTTCTTTTTTCACATCATTATTGTCATCATAGTAGGTGACTATAGGAGTGTGCAATCGATTCACGATACGATTGACGTCTGTGGAATCTTTTACTTTTGGAAAACTATATAGAGGCACGATGCTTGGGTACAGTACTCTATGTCACATTCGCGGTTAAGGTAGTGGTGCAGTGCTCGTGGGCAACCTAGTTGACTTGGATTCACCAGCAATGTCGTTATTGTGGCCCGTGCATGCCAAGGACTGTTCGGTTAATGTGCTTTAACCTGGTCGTTGCTGTGAAAATCGTTTTCTACGACAGAAGCTTTGGGGCGTGCTTGAAGCAATGAATCAACCGTACAGTATACACACAATTTATTAACGCCCGGCGGCTAAGCCGAAAGGGCTACTATCGCTGATCTATAAATACATTTCCTGTAGTAAAACTGGGTTTCCTTCAAGCCCATACATGAATCCTCTGTAACTTCTCGCTGCATTAGACGTTTCTCTTCGGTTCCTCGCGGGTTAGTGATATGGTTAGTAGACTAGCTTGAAGGCTACATTCTTCAAGTGTTCAGCGTCCTATCTTCGGCGGCTGAAGCGGCGTCTACTCTCCCGGCGCACGAGGTGATATGAGGTAAGTAGGTGAGTAGGTGAGTAGGTTTAGGGTATGTCAAACTGGGTTAGTGGTTTGCACTGAGTCGGCCCGTGGCCAACGCGTATCTTATTGTTGCTCGAACGGCGTCCATATCCGGGGTCCAATTCTTGTCGTCCTGTGCAGTCTTTCCTCCTAGGTAGAATGAGATATTGCCTCGATGGGTGTCAGTACATTGCAGCAGCCCTGTTCGAAAAGACGTCCATCGCTGACACCGGAACAGGAAGTGGTCCACCGTTTCTCGGGCTTGTCCGCATTCGCATTGATCTGTCGACGCCGCTTTGATTCGATGGAGGTATGTGTTTAGTTGTGCCATGCCTGTCCGGAGTTGGGCCAGCACCGTGGCTTCGTGCCACGATAGTCGGTCGTAGAGCTGGCGCGTGTGTTTCCCCGGCAATGCGGTGTCAATCCTCTTGGAGTGCTTCCCTACCTTTTCCGGCAGTTCTCTGGTGGTCCCCAGCTTAGCTCGCGCTAAGCGGAGGGTCGTCGATCGCATTCTGGGGAGTGATGTCTGCGGGGTGCACCCTTGCTCGGTAGCGGCCTTTGCTTTCTCTTTGGCCAGTCTCATCAGATCGTGTTCTTCGTTTGATGGCAGCCACCGGACGGTGACCGTATTGCCGAGCCTCTTGAGTGCCCTGACGGATTTGTAGATGCGTCGGATGTATTTCTGTCCCGACTGCTGTCGCGGGTTCCGGAGTGTCAACGCCACTGCCTTGTTCCTCGTGGTCACTGCGACGCTATAATATCGAATTTCCTGTAACGTGTCGAGAGCATGGCTCATCGCTGCCAGCTCTCCGGAATACGGATTCTGTTCTTCGCTAGTGCCAAGTGTGGAGGAAAAGGCAGCGAACTCGTTGCTCCCGCCAACGTGTGTTGGTGTGGACCGCATGATTGCTCCCCCCATTCCTACCATGCCATTTCGGGCTGAGCTGCTCACGGCGACGCGGATCGCCCGGGCGGTGTCTGGATGCTGCGCTGCCGCCGCATCGACCACGGTCGGCAATCTCTCCTCCCACGGTGGTATTGAGCCTGGTTTGATGGTTTCCAATTCCTCCATCGGTACGTCTTGGAGCGCATCGGCCACTTGGTAGAGAGGTGATCGGTGCTGTTTCCGGAACTTCCGCATGCGAGATGTGCTCCGTCGCAGTGGGTTGGTGTTGGGCAGGGTGTGGATATCGGTCCACAGCTTGACTGCCCGTTTCCAGAACCGGTCTTTTGCGCTGCTAATGTGAGCCTCCGCTTCTGCCACCGCTGTGGCGACCGTGAGGAGCGTCCCCACGATCGCCTGCGCTCCCGTCCGTTGCACTCGGTTGATAGGTCCGGTGAGTCGATCTTTATAGACGTGCATCCAGACGGTCGAGGCATAGTCGACCACCGGCGCGACTGTTGATGTGAACAACTGCCGTGCCGTTGCCGGCGAGAGACCCCTCAGCCGTCTCAGCTGCATCGCTGCCTCGAGGCCTTTAGAGGCGGCTCTCGCGACGTGCTCTCGGTACTTGAGTTTGTCATCCATGAGCACTCCCAGCACCTTCACATAACGCTGAGGCTCCACGCATTGTCCCTTGATGGTGAATGCATCTGTGCTGCTCTTGTATGATTTCTTGGTGAAGTGGATGATCGCTGTCTTCTCCGCCTCAAACGTTGCTCCGCTCCTGTCTTCCCAATCGAGGGCGTCGTTGATGATGGCTTCGATACCATCCCGGTTGTCCTGAGCTGTCGGGCCGGTGACCCACGCGGTGAAGTCGTCAACGAACGCTATGGCCCCTCCGTACGTGTCAATTCGTCTCTGCACCAGGTCGGCGTTGATAAAGAGGAACAGTATGGGAGACAGTGGGGATCCCTGCGGCAGACCTGCATGTGGTAAGTTCCGACTCGCGGAGCATTGCCCGTTGATCTGGATCGTGGCGGTGCGTTCCGAACAAAATGCCTCTACCCATCGAAGGAGTTCCTCCGGGATGCCTCGCGCCGTCATCCGCTGCAGCAGCCTATCTTTGCAAACTCCATTGTACGCTCCCTTGACATCGAAACTGATCAAGCTCAGCACTTGTCGACCTCGCCACGCGGTGTAGATTTGTTCTTGTAGCAGTACCAATGCTTGTTCCGCTGAGCGTTGTTTCCGTGCTCCAAAATGATTGGTGGGCAAGAGACCGTGCTTTTCCACCAGGTACGAGATCCTCTCGGCGATCACCGATTCCAGCACCTTCCCCAGCGTCGCGAGGAGTGAGATCGGTCTCCAGCACCTGGCGACCGTGTAGTCCTCCTTTCCCGGCTTTCTCAATGGGATGATCTTGGCGTGCCGCCATTGGCTGGGTAGGGCCCCCTCTTCCAGCGATGCTCGAAACAACCTCAACACGTGGTGTTTGACCACGGGCCACGTCTTTTGCCACACGATCGCCGGCAGGCCGTCGTCTCCAGGTGCCTTCCATGCTTTCGCGGCAAACAACTGTCTTTCTATTTCTTCCATGGTGATGCTTGGCATCTCCAACGGGGCTCTCTGGGGTCGCATGCCTTCATCCTTGATGTTGCTCGGAAGGGGCGGGAAGAAAGTCGCGAGAAGCTCTTCTGCCTGCTCCCCTTGGTCAGTCGTCAATGTTCCATTCGTCCTCATCAACTGCGGCACATTCCCGAATGCCGAGTCCTCGCCCGGCTTCAGGTACTTGACAGCCTTCCAAATGTTGTCGTTGTCGGCTAGGAATTCGTCCCAGTGCTTTTTCTTTTGTTGTCGGATGGCACTGTAGTACTGTTTCGCCGCTGCTTTCGCCGTCCCTTCGAGATCTGATCGAACCTGTCCCGCACGTCGCTCACTCCGAGCCCGGTTTCTCCAGTAGGTGTAGATGCGACGGAGTTGCGTCAGGTCGGTCGTCCACCATCGCTTAGAATAGGGCACCGGACGAGCCTTGGGTGTCAAGGCGTGGATGGCTCCATGGACCGTCCCCATCAGCCTGTCAGTCATGTGCTGTACCGTACCGCTCAGTGGTACGGCGCGTAATGCGCTTGCAATTCTGGCATTGATGTCTTTCCAAGGGGCATTTCGAAGCAGGAGTCGCTCCGGTTGCTGCGGAGTCGGAACTGCCAAATCAATGATCGTATCAATCGCCCGATGATCGGACCCGTGCTCTGTCTGGTATACGGCACACTTGAGCGTGGCATTCGCCAATTCCCCGGAAGCCAGAACCAGGTCAATAGTTGTCGCGTGTTCTCCACCGTGCCATGTCTTCGTGCCTCGTGGCAACAGACTGCTCAGTGAGAACTCGTTCATCACGTCGATGATGGGGTCCGCTTCGCCTTGTCTCACTAAAGACACATCGTCTCCTCCCCATAATTGGTCGTGTCGATTGAAGTCGCCAGCGAGGATCACCTCCACCACGGTTCCTGCGTTTTGCCTCACCTGGTGAACGACATGGCGTAGGTGGGTGCACGCCTCCCGCAGTGCCTGGGCGTCCAGGCGCTGGATGTAGACCGACACCACCAACACCTGTCGTCCCGGGAGCCGTAGCCTCGCTGCTGTCATATCCGGGGAGTCCATCCGGACCTGTTCCGCGTCTACTTCTTTGTTCACCCAGAGCATGCTCCGGATTGGCCATCGTCCCTCCCGCCACGTCGAAGGAACCATCTTGGTCCACTTGTGGTGTGCCATCGGGGTGGTCAAGAGTCGTCCTTTGATTTGATGTGCTCGAGGTTCCTGGATCGCTATGACGGTTGCATCTTGTATTTCCTCGTCATTCATGAGGCTATCGTGCACCTCCGCCTGTTTTCGCACATTGAGCTGGATCATACGGAACGCTCTATTCATGTTGGGATGGGTAGAGCTTCCGACAGTGTCTACTAGATGTGATTGGTCCCGTGAATGAATCTGAGCAAGGATGATAGAGTGGCAATAGAGTTAGCGCGTTCCAAAAGACCTGTGTACAGTGTCAGTCTGGTGCACTACAAGCCGGTAAAGAATCTAGACTATACTCTCCTTAGTACAGTATTTCTTTTTGGGTAGGTCGAACAGAATAATGAACTCGCACATGACTGCAGTGTGGTTGTGTGGCTGTGTGGCTGTGTGGCTGTGTGGCTGTGTGG